ATTAGTCATGACCTATTGGAAGCTTTCTAGAACATCTGGAGCAAATCAACTTGCCTGCTTCTACTTTATGAGATCTAAATTTTATTTTTCTAAATGAACAAGGATGGCTGCTATACATTGGCCATAGCATCTAGTTTTCGTTTAATATGACCAGATTCAGCAGAAACAAAACACAATAGAAAACTTCACATTACTTTCAAACAGTATTCTTATTTTCTAATATTTTAATACTTAAATCTTTATTTGCTAAAAGTACACTCCTTAGAATCTTCAGTAGCCTTTTCATCTATTTATACATAAACTACTGCTAGTGAAATGAATGCAATTTCTTCTCATATAAGCGTGCATAGTTATAGCTATATAGCTATAGCTATCCTAGGATACTTTTGAACAGAAGCCTGATACCGTAGTATCAGCAACCATAAACTAAAGGGGAAAAATAACGGAAGATGTGGGGAAAATTGGAAGATTATAGAAAGCAATTTTTTTGGAGATTCCATATAATTTTTGAGCAAGAGAGATCTCTCATAACTCAAAATGTATTCCAGAAGTTCCATCACTCCCAAAATGTTTCAGTTTCTTACTTTCCAGAAGTGTCACTAAAATAGCATTTTTGGTGCATTTTTATGCTTAGGTCAAGCTTATGAGTTTGACTGAATCTTGTCTTCATGAGTACAATACAACTCTTAAAACCATCTATACTTATTTTATCTCTGACAATAGATCATTCTATTGTGTTACACAAGTTCAAATGTAGAACATTTAAATACTTTTCTTCCAATTGAAGTGATACCAGATGCTCTTGACAACAAAGAACAAAGCAGAAATAATGGAGGAAAGGCAAGCAGCAGAATAACAAAGTCTCATGATTAAAGTTCCCCCTAAAACAAACAGGCCAATGATGTCAACATCACCAAGAGCCAGGTTTTGGGTTAGTCTTATCAATGGTCTTTCCCTAAATTAAACACAAATTGAAACTTTACAGATTAGGACCCATGCAACAGAGGACACTGAACTTGAAATAGAAAACAAGGCAAGCTCCAGAGAAAATTGAGGATACATTTTTATTTATTCAAGCTGACCATCAGACTCTATTCTGATTCTAGACTCTCTGAAAAATGTTGTTGACAACTTTTATTCAGCAATCCATTGTTCTACAGATTGTTGCACACAAAGCAAATCAAGCAGAAAAAGAATGATTGGGAATTAATATTTGGAAATATTAGGTATACTGAAGAAAATTGGATGTAGTGATTGCAAGATTTGTCTTCATTTTGTGATCGGATTAACATTGTCCCCTACCCCAATCTCAGCCTTTCAGATAGTTGACAAGTTCATAGAAAGAGAGTATTTTAAGTTCTGAGTTAACGAGGATAATCAGAGCAGAGGTGGAATTTGATTAATTCCATTTGCATACAATTTCTGGAAACTTTGGGAATGCTGCAACTGTAATAGGAAAAAGTCAAAGAACAAAAATACTAGGGTTGTGCAATGCTTCAGTTCAGTTCCAAAAAGGTGCTGGAAGCGATGGGTGCAAATTTAATGCCCCACTGCAACTACTTAGAGCAAATACATCTTTTCCTGGGATTGCATGGCAACTGTGGAGGGCAGCCATTTGATTCTAGGACAGGTGTTAAATTTGCACTCCCATTAACTCCAAATGATCTTTCATAATCAAATCCAATCTGCATAGACCTAGAAAATGTAAGCTGGAAAACAAATGATGGGTCCTCTGCATAAGGCAAAGAGTTGTATACCTGGGGATGAATGACACCAAGAAATGGTGAGAAGAATGTTGTCCTTTCTCTCAGCTTGTTCTTCCACCTTTCTCCAAATCTGAAGAAGAATTTGGCTAGTTTCATGCTGGAAGCAGTTTCGATATATCAGGCTTCAGTCTATCAGCCTAGTTCCCCTAGACAAATTCTGAAGAGTTGGCTGGGGGGCAGAGGGAAGGGATGAAAAAGTGATCTGAATGTATTGCTGTGGCTGAACCTTGACAATCTGATCAGATAAAGAACAGAAAAGAAAGACCCACTTCAAAGTATTGTTTTCTAAAAAGAAAATGATACAAGGAGAATAATCCTCCCAACAAAAAATTTACCAAATCATGATTGACGTCTAGGGACTCAAGCAGGTCTGGCAAATGGTAAACTCAAAAAAATCCTAATTTATGATTCAAAATCAGCAGCTTGAATTGTCTTTCAAACACAGAATTATTACTGGGTAGTGCTCACCTTTGATTTAGCAGTGTACTCTTCTGCAGTCCATTATATTCCACTACAAACGCAACCTCTTGTAGATATTTTTGTGAATCAAGAGGGTTTTATCATTCTCTGAAAGATGGACCCAATCCATGAGCATCTCTTTCCTACCATTTCATGAGAAATCACTCTCTGTAAATTCCAAAATGAGTGACAAAGAGCTAAATTCTTTTAGTGACAGCAATGATTAGTTGGCCATTTCAGAAACTTCTAGCAGAAACCTGCCTTTTCCCCTGGCAATCTTTGCTGCCCCTTTCTTACCCTCTCTTTCCCTTAGGCAGTCTCAGGGTGGGATGCAGGAGGCCATTTGTTATGAACTCCTAATAGATATTGGAAACTTCAATATACTTGGCAGCTAGTAAAAAATAATAATTTTAAAAGGGGTCACAAGGTGAATTCTTTCATTTGAGTGCTCCCAAATTTTTGCATACAAAGACAAATAAGTGTTCTCGGCTGAAGAGAGTCATGAATAATGCTTCTTCAGAGAGGTAGGTTCCCCTATGGAGTCTACTTTTCATTAAGGGTTTAAATATGTTTAGGATTTCAGTTTGACAAAACAGAAAGCAGTCCCAATTCCCCATTCCAAAACTGGTCAAGGGAATCTCAGTTCCAGCAATCTCCCATGTCCAGATTATTTATTCCAGTTAGTCACTGGACAGAATCAAATCTAAATGTCCAACTTTGCAAAACAGATATCCCCCAAAGAAAATTTTATAAGGATCTGATATTTGAAAATTATATGTCAAATTGACATTAGTTAATATTTTTATTTCCCCCACACACACACATTTTTCAGAAGGTTGATATTTTATGGGCAATTGTATTTCAGTGATTTTTAAAAAAAAATTGTTATGTATTGGGGAATGGTTGCTAAACAGGGCATTGGTTAAGCAAGTCTACCTGTATTGAATTATCACAACCAAGGAATTTCACCTTGATATCTTAGCAATAAAGAAATAATCCTCTTTAAAATAAGAGTCTATCCAACTTTCTGCTTGCTCTGTTGCCATTAAAGGCCACTCATCATTGCTTGAATGTAAGAATGTATGATTTGATGTCAATCTCCATCTAATTCTATCCTTTTGCACACTTGAAGCTTGTTTTCTGTTTTAAAATTACCAACTTCCATCTAAGCAGTATTAGACCTTTTCAAGTGAATGGCCTGCACACGCCTTCTCCTCTAGTGTCAGCTCTGATTGGCTACAGAAATAAGCATATCCCTCCCACCCAACTTCTGGTAACTACTCTATGCAACTATTTCAACTGGGTGCCGGGTTCCTATATTATCCACTGGTCTGCAGTTGCCATTTTTAATTATTTTGTGGTTAATCCAACAATGGACTTACCTTGGGCAGTGTTTTCCCAGCCTATTTAAAGGTTTATTGCTCATTTCAATCCATATAGCTGCCTTTTGTGGGCACCTATTTGGTTTCCACTCAGATTAGATAAAGCATGGAGTAAAACCTAGGAATTGGCAAAGATGAAACTGTCTTGGAAGCTCACAATACTAAACTAAACTGGTCCCAGTAATCAACCCAAACTGGATGCACGTATATTTGTCTTCATTCATGAAAGATGAAACGATCCCTAAAAGAAAATGGCAAACAGACACTGACCTTTGCATTCCCTGCTTGGGTAGGAAGGACAAAAAAAAAAGGATGGTGGACCCAACATAGACTGAATTGACTCCATTGCTAACCCAATGTCTAATAAATGTGGCCCGATTGCCAAGCACCCAAAATCTAGTCATGTGTCTGGAGGAGGGCAACTATTTGAACTTCCAGCCCAGGTTTTAAGTACCCTCTAGATAAGCCCATCAGAATGTCAAATGATGCCTAAGGTGAGATCTATCTGTAATGCAAAAAAAAAAAAATGCCCTCTGAATTTAACTATGTGAACTCTTTCTCCAGTTACTTCATAATTCTTTTCATAATTGTTTGCCCACTTACAAGGCACCTAAATACCTAAGCATAATACTAAAATAATCACCTGTGTACTTGTTCTATTTTTGAACATTTTCTCCTCCAACTCCAGCTTATCATTATGCAAAACTGCTCTTTCCCCTTCCTTTGATCCTTTTGTTTATATTAAGGCCTTTACCGCAAGGAGTTTATTTATTATGTACCACTGGTAACACCTTGATACTGACACAAGACTGGTTGAGCTGGATTGATTGCCATTATTATCATTTAAATAGGTCAAATTGTTGCATTTCTGTGTTGTCCTTCATTCCAAAGCATATTTACTGAATGGAAGCTCACACACTAAAGTTCTTGGAATGGCTACTCTGAATACAACCAGAATCCCCAAGGCTCTGTTGTAGAAACTTTGACTGTTTCTCGGTCATGTGTGAAACAAGAGTTACAGAAGACACTAATCCCATTTTCTTTGTGATAAAACCATGGTAGAGGAAAATTGAATGTCTGGCCCACGACTAACAATAGAACAGCAGTGTCATCACAGCAGTATCATCACTGTGATAGTCAGCATTTGGCCATGTGTGTGTTTTTTGAACCTGCTCTTCCTCCCACACCATTCAAATTCCAGGAGGCCTTCCTTAAGGCAGTGATGTCTCAAGAGAGGCCCAATCCCTGGTTTCTGGAGAAAGGGCAAGGACAAGGGGTGGGACTTGGAAAAGAAAAACCTAAAGCACAAGTTAATGGGGATAAGGGTAAGAGAAGAAAGCTAACTCATTTTACTAACAGACCTTCTTTTGGTGATGCTCACTTCCTTCTCCAGTTGACTTCCATTTCACTTTGAGGTGAAAGATTTCATGAAGCAAAAATGATTGAAACTCGGTCACGCTACATCATCAACCGTCCAGCTTATTCTAGCAACTACTTTGATGAAGAGTTTGACAGGAAAAGTAGAAGTTACCCCCTTGGAGAGAAAATAAAGAGTCTTTTCAGGTAGGTGGGATATTATAGATTGTAAAACACACATGCTCTCCAGATTTTTGGATATCCTAGCCCTTGATGGTAAATGTATTAGTCCTCTAGATTTTTTTTCAACAGGTATTGTCAAAATGAGCATCTGTTTTTGGTTTGTACAATCCAAGAGCAAAGAGACCAATTTTCATCTCAAGAATCTTTTCCAGTAAATTTAATCCCATAAATTTTTTCCCCAGTCAATTCATTCAGAACTTGCAGTCAAAAGAGTAATTCAGATCTGGAATTCAGTATACCAATTACCCAAATATTGGAGACATTGGAATGATGTGGGAAATAGTCCCAGGTTCCTTTTCTTCTTTTTTGATAAGATGTTGTTTAGTAAAGGACAAGTAGAGTATGTTTCCATTGCCAAGGCCAAGTAAGATTAGAATAGGCAAACTATGCAAAGAGGAAAATACAAAATTACTTTCCAACTTTCATCAACAGAACGTCATAAAGGATGCAGATAAGGGAACTGGCAGTACTAATTCAGTGCCAGCATACCTTCCATTTGCCTTTATTTGTTATTGAGCAAATATGATGATTTTATTATGAAAGAAAAGAACAAAAAGATTGGTTAGCAGCCTCTAATATTTTTTTTCATATATATGTATATGTGTATATGTGCATACACAGACATGTACAGGCACACCCAACACATTACATGAATACTTTTAAAAAGTAAGCAATAGTAAGAACAAAAAGACATTTGTGCAAACTATGGAGCCTTTAAAAAAACTTTCTTTTTCTTTTTGTTAAAAAAACCTTGCCTTTTATTATTTCAAAGCAAGTTTTAAATTATTTTTTCCAAAAAAAATGCTTTGTGGTTCAGGGCATGGACATTTCATTTTACATTTACATTTAGCTTTTTTTCAAAAAAATGTGGGTCAAAATACATAAGAGAATTTCCAAGCCACATTACAGTTTCTTAGTGTGGTATTATTTCTACTTCACCTAAAGAAATGAGGTGTGGTATACATAGCAAAATAAACGACCTCTTGTCTTTGCCCTGAAGCCTACAGTCTGAAAGGCTATAAGGGAAGGAGGAGTCTCAGGCAAAAACAGAGGTCAGAGCAAAAGGTGAGCTTTGATCAGTCCATCACCGAAATTAGGCATCTATCCCACCATCCTAAGTGGGGGGGGGGGACTCCTTTCAATCAACCCTAATTCCTGGCAATGGAAACTTGGTTTGATCCCTATTTTACAACCAAGCACAGGCAATAAATGTTTACATTTGTCCTTCATACTTAATAAAACATTTTATACTGGGGGTGTCTTAAGGCATGCTTAATCAAGTATCCTTTGAGTTTTCAACTTTGTTTTGAAGAGAAGAAAAAACTTACCTGATTTAATGCAGAATATTGGTAATAGCATAATTCAAGTGCAAGAAGTATGAAAATAACAACCGGACTTTGTAGCAAGAACATTTTTATTACGGTATTATTTGAATAGTACGCTTCTACTGTTGTGACTTGTATGCATGTCGTTTGATGTATGCCTTTGGTAGATGTTTTTGAGAAATTAAATAACCGAACTAGCTTTACTTAAGTAAACTGGATGCATTACTTTAAACTACACAGCAATTCTCATGTTGACTTTAGAGTTGGGTGGCACCCAATGTAACTGAATGGTCTCTTAAGAGGACAGCGATGGAATCATGCCAAATAAATAATTGCTTTCTGAATGATCTCATAGATACATGATCAGAGCTACTTTAGAGTCTTAGTCGAAAAGAACCCATTTCAGTAGCAAATGTACAACACTCCTCTTATGTTGGATATATTAATGCTTAACCAAAAGCAGCAGTAGCTTAATTATTGTCACTTATTGCCAATGTTATTGAAAAATTAAAAGCCTGACAGCTTTCATGTTTAACCAGGAAACTTAGTTCAGGTTGAAAGACTTCTTTGGCTGTGATTAACTCCTTATGCTTTCAGAATTAACTGGTTTTGGTTCAACTTTTATTTTTGCTTTCTGCTGATATTTATTCTTTGCTGCAGAGATATTGTGTATAATGGTTTCTATACAAGTTTGGCATTTGTTTAGTATAGAAAGAGACTCATTTACTGCTCTTGGTTCTCTAACTATAGGTTCACATTGGTGCAAATAATAGACTTATGTTGTATGTATTTTATCTGTGAGTTGTAATACTCTGATCAGCTTTGCTGATGTGCTTTGTTGGGCTGCTGAGTCAATAAGAAGCCTACTCTGCATACAGACAAGATTAAAGAGATGGAGAAAACAATCATCTTGAACTCCTTATTGATTTATTAAAATAGCTGGATAGAGGTTACTATTTTATAGTGATGGAGTTTAGCCCTGGAAGACAGCAGACTTCCTCCAACACTTCTCCCTTATTCTAATGTATACCATAACCATTACAATAATGCAGCACTTACACTGAATTAAGAGTTGTAACTGCTGTCATTAATGTTGCAATATCACTGTTTCTTTACACCTTAAATTTAAATGCTATACAGTAAAGGATTTTGTAATGATCTTATTTGACTGCAATCAGTGTAACAGAGCAGTAATATTATTGGAATAAGCTATAATCTATGCATGCTAACTAACTTCAGTGCATACTTAATGCCAATGTGATATTTCAGGTTTTTTATTTTTAATAAATTTACAGACATGTCTAAAATTCTGTTTTCACTTTCTTATTATGGGATACTGAGGGTAGATTGATTAGAAAAACAATGAATATCTGTAGAATCAGGCTGCAGCATAACAAAATTGACAAAAGTGAAGGGGCTCTTAATACTTTCTGAATTCACTAAATGTTTATTTCATTTATTTCATTTCATTTATTGAAATGAAATGCATTGGAACATGTGCTTTGCTAGGTTCAAATGTGTGCATTTCCAGTTAAAAGGTGAGATTAAATAAGGACTCTAGAAACCTCTCTAATCAAGAGAGGTTTTTTGGGAAACCCCTATTTATAACACTTCTGACTCAGTCCAACACATCCTGGATAGAAGGCTGTAGAAGTAAACATTGACTGAACTAGGCAGTTAAGTGCTGTTCTATCCAATTGATTTCTTCTGTTCCATTACTGAAGTAGGCCACTTGGGACTGTTTTGTTCTCTTAGCTAATCTGTTGAACATATTGTACTATGTTTCCTTGAATTAATAATATAGGCGCTTATTAGAATAATTGATATTTAATTTCTCAAAAACATGCTAGATATAACCGTTTTGCTAAATTCTGATTTGGCTTGAAATTTTGGTATGTAGAAACTTGAAAACAATTCAAAACCTAGGCCAGATATTATGCTCTCTGGAATTTGATGAAGCCAGGATTCAGGGCATTATATACAATGTGAAAATAATTATGAATAATAGGAGAAAGCTTTTTTTTTTCATTGTGCTTTCTATGATTTGTTCCAGTGCTGTGTGGGTACTGAAAACAAACCTGAAATGGTAGCTCTTTGCTCTACTTGCACCTTCAGATAATGAATAATCATCTGCCTTCCCATGTTACAGAATAAACCTCATAGTAAATATTTCCTATTAATGTCTTTTCTCCACAGATGTTCACCATCCAGACTCAAGCTCATCCTTTACAGTCTATTTCCCATACTTGTATGGCTTCCAAAATACAAAATCAGAGATTACATTGTGCCTGATGTCCTTGGTGGAGTAAGTGCTGGAACTATTCAAGTACCTCAAGGTGAAAGAAACTTGTCTTTTCCATATTATTCAAACATTACTGGGTGGTTTAATTGTTGGACACATTTGCAAAAAAAAAATCCCTTCATGTTCCTTGCGCCTACATTCCATATAAATCCTACTTGCAATCATGCTTAGATTCAGTTTGTCAATGCAGTCAATGAAGTAGTAAAATTTGCAGTTTTCTTTCTTTCTTTCTTTCTTTCTTTCTTTCTTTCTTTCTTTCTTTCTTTTTAAAGTCTACCCAAGCTTTTTTTAAAAATAAAATAAAATAAAAAATATTATGGTATAACTTCAATTTCCTGTTTGGGAAGTATGAAATAGCAGAAAATGTTCTGGTTCTCACAAAAAATATGGGTTGAAACACTATACTTGACCATAAAAGAGATTGTTTGCTTTTGCAAACCCAAATGTTGTTTGTAAAATATTGTTTATAGATTACTATAGTGCACTAAGCAGGAAAATTGTGAATTATTCAATTAACATGGTTAAACAAACCACGATTTAATGCAATACATTGACATCCAAATACAGCCAATTTCTATTACCTTCAAAAAAGAATAAGTCATTAATATTAGCATGGGTTTATTATAGAAATATAAAGCTTTTCAATTTCAAGGTTTAAACCCTTTACACAGACTCATATAGGTAATGTGGATTACCTCTATGAATTGTTTTGTAATGCTAAATATATTAATTTCTATTTTTTTGTAATTTCATCCTTATCTTGCTTTTTGTAGAACTTCTCTGCAACATGTATCACTGTGCTATTACTTTGCCTCGCCAATAATTAAGGTTGGGCAATATACAGACTTACAATCAATCACAGGAAGTCTATACACCACTTTTCATTGCAACTGCTAACTTAATTTCAAAAGTCCTCTACACTTCTACCAGCAACCTGCTTGGAAAGAAGAATACAAAAGGAAAAAGGAAGGAAAAAGGAAAGGGAAGGGGGAAGCAAAGAGCACCTCTCCAAAGTTTTCAGCTTCACCCATCGTTGGTTTAACCAACACCAGGCAGACAAATTATCTCAAAAGGCTAATACTTCCACATAGGTTCCTATGTTATAATTCACTTCTGAACATATCTATAGCACCTTCTGTAACACATTCATCACAAGATGAGCCCTGGGAAGCAGATATGAGACTGTCATGTTTTTGCATTATGTGATCTTGAGTGTAATTGTAGGAAGGAAGATTTGATATGTTCTTCATGTTTATTTTCAGGCATGGCTTTTGCCCTGCTGGCCAACCTACCTCCAGTCAATGGGCTCTATTCTTCTTTCTTTCCTTTGATTACCTATTTTTTGCTAGGAGGTATTCATCAGATGGTCCCAGGTAAGATTTCATCTTCTATTTTAATATTTACTGAGTGCACATATTACATGTTTGCAATCCTAGTGCATGAAATTATATTATCAGGATGTTTTTTTCTCAGTTTGCCATCTCAAATCCTTTCATGAAACAACTGTAAAATATTGGTTTCTTGATTATGATGAAAGCCAGAGCCGAGTCAAAGAACTTCCTTTAGAGTGTAATCAAATACCAATTAACTACTATTACTAATTTATATGCAATCTGGATATAGTGTACTTTAAAGGACATTTGACTGTTAATTACAGGATTTAAATCTAACATACATTAATGGCATCAGGTTGAAGAAGATTGATCTGTACAAACTTGGAGTTACCAGTTATTTATAGACTAACTGTAATATGAGAAGATACTCAACTCAAAAATGTAAGATAAGTTTCATACGTGTTTCCAAACAGGTACATTTGCAGTCATCAGTATTATCGTAGGAAATGTCTGCCATGAGCTGGCTCCGGATTCTGAATTTCAATACTTTAACCACACAGCCAATGAAATTATGGTTAACAACACAGCCATGGAAGCAGCCAGATTGGAGATCTCTGCCACCTTGGCTTGTCTGACAGCCATAATACAAGTAAGAGGGTTTTTTGCATACAAAACTATAGGAAATTTCCATATGACTTACAATTCCAGCGACTGAATGTCTGAGTGGAACACATATGGATCTGTTTATGCTAAATTACAATTTCCAATAGCCCTCAAAAATATGACTAATAGTAAATAATACACGGAATTGTAATTTATCAACAAATGGAAGACTATATGTTCCACAACACTAGTTTTATTGTCCTTATCTGTGTTTCTGCACTACATACTTTGATGTACTCTATGCAATGTGCTACTGCTTTCTAAGTTGCTCTTATGAGATCAAGAAAACATTGAAATCTGAATTCTTCTCTATCTTGACTGAAATATAATTTTAATACTTGTTGCATAATGGGAAATCTATCAATCTATTTGTCAAAGACATACATACATACAGGCAGACAGACAGATGATAACAATAATGAGGAAGAGGAGGAGGGAGAAGGAGAAGGAGGAGGAGGAGATTAGAATAGGTCAAAGGTTTTTATCATTAAAACAGTAATTCTGTTTCCATATTTCATAGCACTTAAATATTGATGCAATCCAGGAATCCTGTCTTCCAAATTTTCAAAATATTATTAAACAAATGGTTGTAATTCAAGGACTACCTCTGGCATTTATTTCCGCACATCAGTGGTTGTGCCAATTTTTTATTATCTGCAATCTCTTTCTCTGAGAAATTCCATTTATTATTGCATCTGACATGCCTGACCATCTCTCTTTCCATAGATATGCCTAGGATTTGTGCAGTTCGGCTTTGTAGCCATCTACCTTTCAGAATCCTTCATTAGGGGTTTTATGACAGCAGCTGGTCTACAGATCCTAATCTCGGTTCTCAAGTATATTTTTGGTCTGAAGATTGAAGCCTACACAGGACCCCTTGCCATTGTCTATGTAAGTGAGGCTGATACTATGATTATTGCTAAATCTTACGAGATTGGGTGCGCAATCAGTGGGATCAAGAGTAGCACACAGATAACTGGAATTTGTCAGGGGTTACACATGATTAAGGAAAAAAGGAAGAAAGGAAGCCAGTATGATCAAAGCAAGATAGTGACTTATTGAGGAAAAAGAAAGACATTTTCCTTCCATTCTATTTACCTTTGGTTTTTCACAACTTTCACTTTCACCAGTTTTAAAATATTTAAGTGTAATTTTGACTTAATTACCAAAATGGGAGTTTCACCTATTTCCATATAAAGGTAAACTGCTTAGATATGTCTAACTCTAGTGGCGATGCTCATGTCCATTTCTTAGCCAAGGGAGCTGGTATTGTCTGAAGACACTTCCGTGGTCATGTGGCCTGCATGACTATATGCCTAGGCACACGGAATACAAAATGTGGAATTATAGTCATAGATTATTCCCCAAAGATAAATGCCCCCTGGGGGTATTTCCTGGATGGACCCAGGAAAAGCCAATTTATCAGTGTCCTCTGTAAGAGCTGCAGGCTAGGGGGTGGGATGGTTTCAGAGTGATGCAGTCTGTATCACAACACAAACTCCTCCCCGTTTCTACATGTACCACAAAGTTACAATCATACCACAAAGGGCAGAGCTTGCTAGATGATATTGTGACTCTGCTGCAAATTTTTTTGATGAAAGTAGCAAGAGACTGCTGCAACTCACTGTACAAAGAGAGGGATTAACAGAAGTATAATCCGAAATCATCAATAATGGTGATGAAACAATTTCTTCTTACTTCAAAACACAAGTAATTAAACTATATGAGAATCAAATGTTTATGAAAGAAAATGTGATTGCTTTTAACCAACAGGATGATTACGGGGGCTATAATTAAATTTATAAATATTCATTTCCAAGGTAACAACAGTTATTTAAATTTCTCATTGTATTAAAGCTGTATAAGAATTTGGATATGGTGGTATAATTAATCCTAATGTAAATTTATTGTACATTTTCCTAGAAAATATAATTACTTGTTTATATTTATTTCTTACTAGAAGAAATTAATTGTTTGCTTATTATTAGCTACTATATACTGTATATTATTGCAAAATAATGGAAAAGGAAATTCCACTTTCTTTGAGCCACTGGTAACTAACAATGGGTGAAAAAAGCATTGACTGAACAGTTAGCATAGCAACCTTTAAAGAATATATTATTGGCATCTGGTGTCTGTTATTTAGAGCACTATAACAATAAGGTACTTCTATTTAAAAATTGATGGAAATATTGAATATGGTACTACAGTAGATTTATATTAACTCCTAATTATTTTACTTTTTGCTTATGAGCAAAAATTGTTTTCTGGATTTTTTTTATTTCTCGGTTCCTAGATTTTTTAAAATTATTTTAAATATTTGTTGATAATGTTGTTAAAGTGTTGTTGTTGTTATTTTAAATAAAAGAAAAAATAAAGTCTGAAACCAAGGGAAAAATATTAGGATTCCATTGTTCACCAAATCTTATACCAAAACTTGAATTTTATTATATAATTTTTTCCCAAATCACTGCAACAGAACAAGTAAACAAAATTTTGCCTGGAACATGTTTTCTTTCTGGGCAACTCTTGATTCTTAAGACCCCAAATGCCAAGGTTTTTGCAATATTAAGGAATGAGCTTAGAAATAGCAGACAGTTACAATTAATTCTAGTCCATTTTAATTATAAAGGATTAGAAGAAAGCCTTCATAGAGTTTTGGAGTTTCTCAGTTACCTGTTGTGAGCCTCTTGAATTTTCTTCTAAAGTCTCAGCAGGATGTTCAGGTTAGATTAAATACATCCTGTCTGGTCAGGCCCTGTTTACTGACCTTTTAATTAATTCAGAGTTGGCTACTGTCAGAACTGCATTTTATTTTTGTATTGCTTTGAGTGTTGGCTACTACTGCAAAATGCAGATTTCTCAGTTAATCTTTACATGTTGACTAATAAACACCATAGCATATTTTCCATTCTAGCTGGCATGTTGAAAAACCTCATGTTATCTTTTTCTTGATGAAACCTCCAGACATTTATTGATATTTGCAAAAACCTGTCGAAAACCAATGTGGCTTCCTTGGTGTTTGCTCTGATCAGTTCTGTGCTTCTCATCATTGTGAAAGAGCTAAATATGAAATATATGAAGAAGATTCGAGTCCCAATTCCCATGGAGATCGTTATAGTAAGTAGCAGTTACAGATGTTTTCATTCACCTACTATTTTCCTTGGGATTGGTACTTTTCAGAAGCAGAGATAAATTGAAAAAAAATAACTTTTAAGACGGAGGTAGCATGCCTTTTTGTTGTTTATTTTAGGAAATGCTGATTTGATTATAAGCGAAAGTGCAGTGCATATGGCAACATAAGAAGATCACTTAGCAATAATATTTTGTACAATAATTTCAAGACTATTGTACATACATAAAGGGCAATGAAATTAGTACTGAGATACCAATAGACCCTTGCTCACTTATATTTTATAGAGGTCCCAAGATACTGAAAGCAACCATTCCAAAGATATTGCAACCTGTTGAACTCCATATTTTTCATCCTGCATGGTCTTTGTTATAATTGCAGTCTCAAACTATTGTCAGATATGGGGTGACTTTAGTCATCCAAGATAAAACACTGGCATGCAGAGGTTGACCTTGATTGACTTACATTTCAATGCATCCGGGTTCAACATCCTTGAAGTATTCAGTAGCAAAGGTACATGCAGGTAATGCAGCTTTATTCTAAAGCATTGAAATATGATTAGAAAAAAAAACTAAAGTAAGATGCTTACATGTCTCTGGTACGTGCTGACATCCAGGGAGTATTGGTGTAATTAGAGCTGTGGGAAATGCACAGATTTTGGCAGACAATGTCTTTGGTTTCAGTTTGCAATCCATCCAGAATTGCATTCCTGTGAAATGAGCATTGCTTGCTAATATGGGAACCTCTTAACCAAATTTTCCCTGTTCTGTATGAAAGGCAGTAATGGATACAGAATAACAGGAAAAAAGTTTATGGTAGTTTCAAAAACTACAGTGAGCAAAACAGTTTCTGAGAAAATGGGTATTTTGTAGAAACTATTCCTAGGGGAGTAAACTCAGATCAAGAGCCCAGTAAGAACTTTCTCTTGTAAATACAGATCAAGTTTAAATCTGGAGATCTGAACAGTCAACTATGTTAGTCCATGCAAACAACCAAACATGTTCTAATCTTAGATCGTCCTCAGATTCTAGCATTGTGTTCTGATTTTGCATTTGGGGATTTGCCTCCCTTAAAATTAGTGTATTTGTAAATTGAAGTATTGTGGTCTAATTACTTTGTTAAATATGCAATACCTACTTGAATCATATTAGATATCAGTGAGGCACTATGTGCAAACCGGCTTTGATTTTTATGATCAGGCTACACTTGCACTTTCTGGGGGCAATTGAACTTAATAATTAAAAAATAAGAAAAGATGGGTCATAACATTCAGGGTCTTTATTGTTCATATACTACTGCTCTGAAATAAACCAAGGTAGGCAAAAACATATTATGAAGACCAACCAAGGTACAGAATAGGCAAAAACTAATGGACACCTGGTGTTTATCCAGAAAGGTTTGGCAGACAAAATAAACCATTCAACTGCTTATGTCATCAGAATATTGCCTTGATCACCATATCTAGAAGTAAGAATCTAAAATGTTGATGATAAGTTAGATGAATGAATCAAAATCATAGAATAAAATTTAGCAGGGACAAAGGAAACTACCTTCACTCAGTTAGGAAATATTTGCAAGTAATAGCACTTGTGAAAAAATTCTTGGAATAGTTGGAATAGTTGGAATAGTAGTATGTAGGAGCCCAATGCGTGGTATGATTGCAAAACAAAATCAACTGTTTCCCTGAAAATAAGACTTCCCCGGATAATAAGCCGAATTGGGCCTTTGGGCACATGTGCTAAAACACAGCAGCAGCCATGAAGTGACCATGCTCGCCGCCTCCTATAACTCAAAAATAAGGCTAGGTGCTTATTTCAGGGATCAAAAAATAAGACCCTGTCTTATTTTTGGGGAAACACAGTAGTTTGCCGATTAGTTTTCCTTTATTCCCATACTTAGGTGAATTGACTGAAATATTAACTGCTTAATTGTATAAGAAGGCATTAATATACTGCATATGCAGAAGTCATTTTTGTTTACTACATGAGAGATTTATGCTTTTGTACAATATAGTTTTTTATTTTTCATATCGTACTTGTTTTAAAATGAAACTGAGGAAGAAAAATTGATATTATGGCAGTCTTGATAAGGTAATAAATACTCTTTTCAAGAAAGAGGAGGAAATAAACTTAATTCTTCCTCTTTCATAGAAAGTCATCAACTTTTATGAACCTTGAAAGAGAGAGTGCTTGAGGTACTCAATCACACCACAACATTTCATGAACTTTGAGCAACAGTTTATAATAAATATTGAATCTCTTTCAAACTTATATGCTAAGACACGCATTATATTCTGAAAGAATACAGTTCCAATGCTGATTAACATCACAAATGAAAAATTAAGCTGAGCTAAAATTTCTGTTTATGCTTGGACTTCAGGTCATTGTGGCTACAGTCATTTCTGGAAGCTTTAATATGCCTAAGAAATATGACATGCCAATTGTTGGACCTATTAATATGGGGTAAGTAAATATTATTTCTTTCCAAATAGGAATTTGCTAGTGAAGCTATCTCATTAGTACCATTGTATTTATTACATTACTAAATCTGTTGTTTCTTGAGCAAGAATTAAATTATATAACACGATAAATTAAAATGGTGAATTAAAAATAGTAGACCTAGAGTATGGTTCTAATTAAGAAAACAGTATCAGGAATCAATAAGACAAATTGAAGGACTAAACTTCTCCTCCTCCTCCTCTCCAGCTTCCGGTATTGTAACCAGTAGTGTTAAAAGGAAGGAAATGATGGATCTTCTTGAAAACAAGTTAAATTTAACTTAGAGTTTTCAATGGCTGAATTCATCCTACCCTTTATAAATACCATAGAATTTTGTAGAAAGTAGGGCAGACTAAAAGTGTTAGTATCTGCAAGGCTTGAATGACAATGAGTCAATCCACTACTAATTTGCAGTCATAGCATAATTACAATGTGTATAATAATTATTGCTATGTAAAGCAGGTGACAACTCATTATAGTGCTCTAATTATAAATTTACACTGTCTGCATTGCTATGATGAAGGAAATACTGGGAATCCAATAAACTAATATTTCCTAGTTTATTGCTCTTTGGGTAATTTCAAGAAGATTGTGGTAAACATAGATCTTTAGATGTTCTTTGTTAAATTCATGCATTGCTTTTATGCTACATTTTTCATGATATATACCATCTCTATTGGAACCATTAATAATGTTATGGAACTTCTGATTACCGGATCAAAGTCTATATTATATGGCAGTACACTGAGAAAGTCATAAGGGTTGAGTGTACCTCAACAGCTACAGCTATTTTACTAAGGCTGCTGAACACTGGGGTGTGAGATATGGTGGCTCAGCAGTTAAAGTTGCTGACCTTGTCAGCCAGAAAGTTGACAACCTAGGTTTGAGATCTGAGTGCCATGCAACAGGGAGTGCTCTCGTTACTTGCCCCAGCTGCTGCCCAGCTAGCAGTTCGAAAGCATGCAAATGTGAGTAGATAAATAGCTACCACTTCAGTGGTAAGGTAAGAAGCATTCTGTGCACCTTTGGCATATAGCCATGCTGGCCACATGACCATGGAAAATCTTTTTGGACAATGCTGGCTCTCTTGGCCAAGAAACGGAGATGAGCACTTTCACCAAAGTCGGACATGACAGGACAGGGAAACCTTTACCTTTGCCTTTACTAGACACTGAGCCTTAATAATACAGATGCCTAGTTATTGTTTTCAAAATATTAAACTTACAGGGTTCTTTACAGTAACTATATTGAATTGTACAATTCAATGTATAGTGCAATATTAATGCAATATCAGGTTTTCAATTTCAATTATATAGCATGTGAAGGATGTATGTTGTGTTTTTAATTCGTTGTACCGTGTGCAATGACAATAAACTAAAGTAAACTAAACTAAACTAAGCTAAACTATACTAAACTAAACTCCTCTAGCCATACAGCTATCGGAGAACTCAGAAAAATACCATTTTTAAAAATATATATATAAAAATAATAATGTAATAATTAATCAAATATAAATGTCACCAACTCCTAGCAGACTCTGGGTAGCTTCCAATTTAAAAAACATTTAAAACAGGAAAACCACAAAAAATGAGCAAAGATGGCAGAGACAACAAACTCAGACAGAAAGAAAATAAAAGAAGGAAAGGGGACTTCAGACATGTTGAGGAAAGATCTGAGATAAAAGGCAGGACTTGAGGGCCCTGTGAAACACCAATAGGATGGCGGGGGGGGGGAGTGTTGGACATTTGAATCTTGGGAGGAACCTCATGCCCAGTTTTGCAGTCTCAGTTGTCCTTAAATATATTGCATTTGACAGCCATACTTTTGCTCATAAATGACTGCAGGCTTCCTCAATCTGGTAATTTTGGTATGGAATTTTGTTGCCATGCTAAGAACAAAATGTCCTAGTCTGATTTATCAATTTTGAACTGAAGCATGGGCTTTTATGTCAAGCTTTTTTTTTTTTTCCCTTTTCATTCTTAGGTTTCCATCTGCCACACTTCCTCTAGTGGGCAAATGGAAAGATATGATTGGCCCAGCTTTTTCACTTGCCATTGTGGGCTACGTGATCAATCTAGCCATGGGCAGAACCCTTGGTAACAAGCATGGCTACGATGTGGACCCAAATCAGGTAATCTTGATAACTGTGAAATATATAGAATGATTGTATGGCTTGCCTGCCCATAATTCCATTTCCAAGGCTGGAAATTTAAATACATCTAGTCCTGGACTTACTAATTGAACCTAAGAATCAGTCATATGTTGTGATTGTTATAAAGCAGGTCATCACATCAATGACCTGATTTTGTGACCTTTTTTGTAGCGGTCGTAAAGTGAATGCCACAGTCATAACTACACCCATTGTTCTTTATGGGCACTTTTTGCTGGAAACTAGAAGGAAAAGCCAGTTCCTGGGGGAGGGGGGGAGTAAATTATGGTAATGTGACCACAGGACATTGCAAATGGCTGTAAATGCTATATGCTGAGCACCCAAATTTGTGGTCACCTGGCCTTGGAAGGTGTGTCCATCTGAACTTCAGAACTGGATTATACGTAGCTTTTGAGGAAAGGGGAGGGTCCATTGTAACTTTGAACCAGTGGTGCAATTCAGCCAGTTCTATCCAGTTTGGACAAACCGCTAGCTGTGGTGGCAAGAGGCTCTGCCCACCCTCCTGGACATCATCACATCCAATTTTTGACCCTCTGTGCATGCACATGCTCATAAAAGTAAGTTGATTTCATCCCTGCTTTGAAAAATTACTAAGCAACCAGTCAGAAGTCAAGGACTACTGTCTTCTTCCTCAGAGAGACACAACTAGATTTATGTAAGGATGGGTAGGCAGGACTTATTGAACAGTGTCATCCTCCTCTGGCCTTTTTGCATTATGAAATGCCCTAGTAAAATACCATTATATCAGTGAATTAAAAAAAATTTTTATATAATTCAAAAACTGCAAAGTATAGCGGTTATAAAGGATTTGAAGTTATTAAGAAAAATGGTCGCTGTAACCCAGCCTTTTCCAAGGAAATCTCTTACCGATAGTAAGTTAGTAAGCCTACTGGACAATTTTCTCAATACTGTATTCCTTCCAAAAGAGAATGGCATGTATTACTCAGAGAAAGCAGATTGCTTCACAGAAAACACAACCTCATATAGACGGCTATTAGGTGGAGCCGTTTAACTGTCTCTGCTTCTTGGCATGGTTAATTGAGAACTTATGTGTAGAAGAACAGGATGTAACTTACATTAAATAAATAATAACAACAGGAGGAGGAGGAAGCTAGGACACGTCCCTGTGTCATAGTTTTAGGTGACCCCTCTACATAGAGGTTGTGCTGTCAGGTAGCCAGTAAGAACCTGATCATTACTACTCTTCAATTGCTTCACAACTGCTGACTTGCCTCAGAGCAGAATCTGGAGCAAACCGTTCAAGGGATTTAGTATGTAAATATTTTTAGTCTAATTAATCAAACTTCTTTGAAGAGTAACTTAGAATGATGCCATCTGAGAATGCCATCAAGGCACATCATGTACAATAACTTGCACAATGCTGGCCTTTTAAACAATTGCTACAGCCAACTGTGCCATTTCTGCATGACATGCTCTCTCTTAGCCCAGTGGCTGAAAGGATGATTCACTTGAGTGGCAGATTTAAATTGGCAGATACCTGTTAGTACTGTCTTGGCCTGAAAGTGTCCAAACATGTGACTGATGTGACCCAGAGAACCATGGGATAATTTTGGAATGAGTGGAAAGAATTCTTGTGGAGGGTTGGTGGTGGATGAGTCTCCTGCAATGGGATAGCAGATTCTGAAGACTTAATCGGTGCAGTCTTTGTATGAATAATGTCACCCACAAATGAGGGACCAGATTAGGATAATGACTGACCTATTTCTATTTCCAGTTAAGTGTTGCCAAAACAAACTCACTATAAGGACAAGGGCTTGATGTTTTCTACAACCTTAACTGACTCATCCATTGTCTCCATAGGAAATGTTGGCCCTGGGCTGCAGTAACTTTTTTGGATCCTTTTTTAAAATCCATGTGATCTGCTGTGCGCTTTCAGTCACCTTAGCTGTGGATGGAGCTGGTGGAAAATCTCAGGTTGTTTATCATTTGCTTGCCATTTCATCTTCATAATGGGAAGATTTATTTGTGAAAAGTATTCTAGACATTTTCACACTATGTATGATGATCCTGGGAATTCAGAATTAAAGTTCTCAGCATCCTCTCCAAACCCATATTTCTAGAGTCATATTCAAATTAATACAGAATATTTGTAAGATATAACTGGGAATTTCAGGCCCGTCACATTGCAATTGACCATGGTGATTAGGACTGCTGAGTTTTGTATTGGAGCAACAACTAGAGATCATTGTTACTCTGCATAATTTACCCTACTATTCTTAAAGAAGTGGCCAGAAGGATGAGGAACTCGCAGAAAATTAAGTTCTGTGACTGATATATGGCAGAGCAATGCAGTTCTTTAGATTCAATTCCAGAAAGGTGCTATGCAAACCCAGGAAAAGATGTGGCTTCTTGAAGGAGTTGCAGGCACATGCTACCTTTGCAACCCCATGCTCTCCAAAGCAGCTTTTTGGGAATCAAATCCAAATTATTGGACAGCTCTAATAATTAGCATTTGAAACGCCATATGGTCATCACTGTTTTAATTAATCATACCAGGTAGTATTACTGTTCCCATACTGTAGAAAGGAAATGAAGTGATACAGCTAAGGCCACCTTATTGATTTAGAATCCCATCTCTTCATTATTCTGCTCTCCTACACTACACCAGTTTGCGAGCTAGCACTTTAAATTCAGCAAATTCAAAATATTATAATGAGTCATTTTTCATCAGCAATAGTTTCGGGAGATTTAGTCAACTTCTTATACATAACATTTCTTTCTTTTGTGGGAATAATGTAGTTAGAAATAATTGTGCTGCAAGAGAAGCTTCTTTTTTTCAGTCTGATTCCCAGAGTTCTTTAGTATTTTTGGACTTATTTTGTTGTTGTTGCTACAAGGTGATGGAGAATATTGTTATTCCTTTCTAATACAAATTTCTCCCACCCACAGAAGTCACAATGGTTGTCCATCCCTTCTAATCTGAAAAAAGATCTTAGAAGTTCTATCTTGTCTTCTCTTCTCTTGAGGTTTAATTGAGGTGTAAGATATTAGGGAAATTGCAATCCATTAAGAAGTGATTTGTACAATGAAAAATAAGACACACAGACACATAATTTAGCCACATCCCAATTAAAAAACCCAACTTCTCACTCAAGTGAATGTGAAGGCAGCCATGGTGATGCAGTGGTTAGAATGCAGTATTTCAGACTAACTCTGCCCACAACCAAGAGTTCAATCCTGAATAGTTCAAGGTTGACTCAGCTGTCCATCCTTTCAAGGTCATGAAATGACCCAGATAGTTGGGGGCAATATGTTTTTTAAACAACTTTTATTTACTTTTGAACAAAGACAAACATAAAAATAAAAAAGGCCATCTTCCATTACAAATTGTAGAAAGTGTGTCAGTTGGTTACAGTATTTCCATGCATCTCTTCCATAGTCATCACCTTCTTTTCATATCAAATCACATATTTTAAATTCTTATATATTCATATATATCACTATTATTATATCTCAACCTTAATTTGACTATAATTGCTTTTACATCCTTTTATATATAATATTCAAAATCTAGAATAGGATTATATGATAACATTCTATTAAATCCTCCTAAAATCATCCAATCGCAATACATCTTTATAACATTCTAGATAAAGCTTTTAAACCTCCTCTCATATTATCCATGTGTTGTTTATATAAAATTTCATATTATCAAACTAATATATCTATATGTATTGTTATCATTATTAATCATTATTTAACTATAACTATTGTCACTTCATTTTATACATATTACTTGTAAACTAAATTTAGCTTAGTTTTTATTATATATTTTCATTGCATCAACCTGTATCTTTCCAGTAACAGTGCAGTCTTATATCTCTTGCCATTTGTAGCATTAATATTCTAGTTACTTTCTTAATAAATCTAGTATGAACTTCTCTTCACAACATGTTGTTCCTTTCATATCTCATAAAAGCTCGAAACCCAGCATCTGCTCTTTCCATCAGCTTATCTTTGGTTATCACTGGTGCTTTTGTCAAGATTTCTCTCCTTATCTCCGTCATTTTTCTCTCTTTTCTTCTTCTGTGCTTTGAAGTCTGGGGTAGAGTTCCAATCCCTCTATCTCCCCTTTCCATATTCTACTCTTGCCATTACTAACCACTTTGTTGTCATTTTGTTGTCAATATCCACGGTTTTCTTATCTTTTTGCTCATTTTTATTCCATTTTTGAACTCTGTCCTCCACATTCTTCATTTGATAAACAGCCTCAGTTTTTCAATCAGATTTTTCTGTTTTGTATTCCATATTCTCCAATTTCTTTTCAATTCTCTCTGTCACAACTAATAGGTTTTGAATTTTAAACATAATCATTTGCAATGTTACAGTTTCTTTTTCCTGCTGTGCCATTCTTCCAATTTTGCAGGTACTGCCACCATAGGATTCAAGCTATTTTAATAAACTTCAAACAGGTTCATTTATTATCTTTCAAGTCAAAATGTTGTCTTCCCTCCAATAGCTAGTGATAGAACTCCCAAAAAGCACCTGTATAAACAACTTGTGCTCTTCCTACTATCACTATCAGTAAACAAACTGAAAGAACCTTGAATCTCAAGTGATCAAAGAAAAAGAAGAAAAAACAATGTATCCAGCCTCCAACCTCTAAGTGGCAGTGTAACTGCTTTTCCTCCTGCTATTACAACCCTCTTTATAATCATTCTTATTATCTTCTTTATATTCCAAGCTTAAGAAAGAGAGAAAAACCTTAAATGGAGATCAAAAACAATCCAATCAATCCAATCAAGCATTATAAAAAACAAGGAATTTTTTATTTAATCCATAGGTGTAATCAAAAGTGAAAAAAGAAGAAGAAAAATTAATCCATTCAGTTTAAAAAATAGGGAGTCTTTGCAAAAATTCCATCCATGAAAAAAAATTAGAAACAGGATAACACACTAAGTTTAATGTAGATTAATTTTGCTGCTTACAGTCTTTTATCTTCAATTTTAATTTAACTTAATTTTTGGGGGGTAGTCTCTTTTTCTAATAATAAATTTTCCTCACCAATTCAACACACTTTCTCTTTTCGCTTTCTTCCCGTTCTGGAGCTGTCCCAACTTCAGCAGCTTCATTAGCTGCATTTCTGTTGCCAGAAAAAAGGCTATTCCTGGATCTTTCATGGACTTTGCGGTGTCCCTGAGATCAGCAGGAGGTGCCCTTCTCAATCACTGTCTCTGCGGGACGGTTTAGGTCCAAATGGACCGTCCAGCAGCAGAAATATCGATGCGATCTCAGAGTACCAAAATTGCACGTCGCAACATCAGCCCCTTTTTCTCATTGGGGGCAATATGTTGACATTATAAAGCTCTCAGAGAATGTTGTAAAGTACTATGGAGCAGTATATAAGTCTAAGTGCTATTGTTATTGCTAATATCACTACATGTTTTCATTTTGGGGGGAACTGCTTTTACATTCAATTAAATGGGATGTTTCTTCATTGCAAAACAAATATTCAGTGCAGCAGCAGTAGCTATTATTACAATGATTTCACAGGACAAATTAAAATGTGCATTGTTATAAATTAGGACAGGAAACTATCTTTATTTCATAACACTTCCTTTCATCAGTTATTTTGATTTGTATTCTTAAACTGGAATGTACTATGACATAGTCCCAAATAGTTTTTTGTAATAAGCTACTTTTCTCTTCTCAGGTGGCAAGTTTTTGTGTAGCATTGGTGGTAATGATGACCATGTTGTCTTTGGGAAGCTATCTTAGCCCTCTTCCAAAGGTAAATATTCAAATTACTAGATCTGTTTTAGAGGGTGTTTTCATCACAGATTTAAACAGGGGAAATGCATTTTTGTGAACACATTATTTGATTGCCAAATTACAAATTTTCCAGGAAAAGTCAGAAAAGTTGAATTCATATGGAAACAACTTAAATAACTGAACAGGAGATGCAACAAGACACTTTGACCAAACTTCTAGTAACAAACTATGAGTAAAACAAACTATATGGTTCAGTAATAATTTGTCTGACTCCTTAGAAGCTCCAATTTTGTCTCTGGATGGAATTACAACCCCCAAAGAAAAAACAGATCCATGATCAGGAGATTCACTTAGATTCATGGCTCCTGCTCAAATAGAAGATGGGAGATGCCACCAGGAGTATATCCCTCTGGCTTTAGTTGAGGCACCAGACGTGGCTGTTCTTAGAGCTACATGCTCTGGCTAATGTGACTCAGGCCCTTAATACCTTATGGTTGTACAACTGTAGAATAACTTACTTGGGGCTGCCTTTGAATCATTTCAAAGAATGGTAGAAAAGGTGCTGACAGTTAAAACATGATTCCACAGACACCTTTCCTTCAGTCAATGCACTGGTTATTAATAGGTTTCACATACAATTCAAGTTATTATGTATTAAGGCCTTTATGGTTTGGGTCCTTTGGGATTGCCTGCTTCAAACAGAATGTGCCCAACCTTACACATTTGAACTTTAATGCCTGCTGCCTATTCTACTTCTAGAAGAAGACACTGGCATTCTTCTGCTTGGTTTTATGGTTGCTTTACACTGAAAGCTACTCAATCTGTTTGGGTGGCACAGAAATATTGTAAAACAAATATAAATAAAGAAGTAAATATGATTTTCAGACATTGTAAACTGTAATTAAGATCAAGGGGGGCCAACAGACTTGTAACTTCCCTTGCAGTCAAGGGCAAATTATATGGCAAAACATTATAAATTGTTTGACTCTTAAACATTTGCCTTTTAGATTTTAGCTAGAATATAATTGCCTTTGAGCAAGAGGATTTCTGAAGTTGCTCTAGTTTAAAGTAGGAAGCCTAAAAAAGAAAAGAAAAGAAATCAGTGAGGAAAGCCGTAAACTAGATTTAGTAGAAATACTATAAAACATTACCACCACCCCTCACTCATGTACTATTTGTACATGATTTGGAAGCTGAAACATATCTATCAATTAGAAATAGTTAACTTATTACTTAATACACACACATACACACCAAATATTTTCGGTTACTGTTTTTTCATCATCCCAAACCAATAAGACTAGTGGTCAGGGGCTGAAAATATCAGAAATCTTTGTAAGTGGATTTGCATATAATCATAGGAAAGCAACTAAGTAATTTATTTCAAGAAAGAATTTGCTCAATGGAAAAAGGAACAGAAAATAACAAACTAACGAACCAGAAAAGAAGATTTTTTAAAATCTTCTCATGATGTCTCTCATATTAGGACAGCAATTTTACATACACTTCTTGGGATTAAGCCTTTTTATTTATTGAGACTTAATTTCGAGAATATTTGCATATGATTGTGCAGCTACTTTTCTTTCTTCTGTGATCTGTGTCCAGAAATACTGTTCTATATGATAAAATGGACTGTGATAATAATAACACAGTACTTTGATCAAGTCCTCTGAAAGGAGACACATTCCATGTATTTAGAGCAGGCAGGTCAGGGTTTAAAACATTTGGCTATCCACTAGACAACATAAATGTTTTCTGCCATCTGGTGGTCACCAGATTGTTGCAGCCCATACCTGAAAGATCTAATTAAGCCACATTCCATTTCACATTATTTGGCAAACACACTTCTTTTAGGTTGCTTCTATAAACTTATCCTAGCTGTTTACAAATAAAAAGGCATTACACTGGGGGCCTACATATTCACGCCTATTTTGTCATTAATTTTATCATGTAATCTCCATCACAGGCTGTTCTAGGAGCTTTGATAGCTGTAAATTTGAAGAATTCTCTCAAGCAACTGACTGATCCATATTACCTCTGGAAAAAAAGCAAGTTGGATTGTGTGAGTAGCAGAATATTTAGAGAAAGAAGAATATGCCTTTTAGTGTGAATTAAGTCACTATTTTATACAATGTTAGCAAAAACCTAGACAAATATTTTATTTACAGTAAAAAAAATTGCATTTCTGTACAGCAGAATTCTTCTAGAATCTTACCATAAAAATATTCAGAAACTTTGTTAAAACAGTCTAGTCCAGAGAAGCATTTCAATCACATCTTTTGTTTTAAAAGATACTGTATGTCACAAAATGCATGTTGTATAAATTGCATTACATATTTAGCTAGATACCAGGTTTTTCTTACTGTTAAAATGATTTTTTGTGACTTTATAACTAGTTATGCATGGATGTTAATAAGCGTATATGAGTTGATATTACAAAAAGTAAGTTGAACTAAGCTGTGATATATGTAATACCCAGACTGGAATTACTATTGCATATGTTGAATTTAAACATCACCAAAGCTTAAAAAGATGGGAAGTTTTAGCTGAGAACATGGATAGCAGATGCTAGTCAGAGCAGAAAATATGAGACCAGAAACAAATTACTTGAATTTCCGCAAGGTGACAGACTTACTAGAACAGTGTTTCTCAAACATTTTCAGCCTTGGGATCCCTCTACATTCTTATAAATGATTGAGGACTCCAAAGAGCTTTGACTTCTGGGGGCTATATCTATCAATATTTACTGTATTAGAAACTAAAACCGAGACATTTTAAAATGTTTATTTATTTGATGTCACATACCCCCTGAAAGGGTCCCATGGATTTCCAAGGATGCCTAGCAACTTTGAGAGTTGCTGTACTAAAATATAGATGACCTTCCACTAACCAAAGGCTTAAAAAGAAAACGATAAGAGTACTAGGCACTGACTGAAAAAAATTCTATTGACAAACGTATAACATGTTCCAAACATTTTATCATGGAAAAAGCAAATCTCTTCGGTGTTTGCTGTTGGATATTTTGTTTGAGCAAGTTGCATAACTGTAGATTACATCTGCATACATTTTGCCCATATTTGCTAAAAGTTTATTCAGAAATTGCTTTATCAATAAAAAAGAGATCCATCCTTTGAATTTCATTAATTTATGCTCTGTCAATTAGCATTGGAGAGAATGATTCACATCAGCTTGCAAACACAGAGGCACTGACTCTGTAACTCTTGGAATCGTACTCCAACTAAACTCTCTTTTAACTAAAGCAAAGGTAGGCAAGCAGGCCAGCCAAAGGTTCATGCAACCTCCCCTGGCCCATTTTTGCAGTCCACAAAGCACCACCAAATCTTGTCTTTGATCAGCACACATTTCTGTGATATTAGCAAACAAATGTGTAAAATAAATGTGATTAATGTCTGCACGGCCTGGTTTATACCTTACCCACCCAATTCTCCCCCAAAGTTATAAATTTCCCCCTTGCCTGAATAATACTCCCATAGTCTTTGTAGTCAGAGCAAATTTAAAAATAGGAGAGGGGCTCCAATAGAAAAAGTTACTTATCTTTGATTTAAAGCACTAATACTTAACTTTTTTGCTGGACAGATTCCAAGAGCAGCTCATAAGTCAATAAAAAATTATAGCAACAGTAACTAAAGAGCTACTGTTTTAGTAAAAGCTAAAGAATTTAATCTGCCATTGTTGTTATTTAAAGAATTAAGAAGAAAAGAGGGCAGAAAGGGAAAAGGGAAATTCAGACACAAATTTCTTCAGTTACACATTCCTCTTGGGAATAGAAACTCTTACAATGATTATGCTTGGTTAACACAATGGAAAATTGGAAAAGATCATATCAGTGCTTTCTGATGCTGCCTGGGCATGTTTCAGGAAAGGGAAAAAATTATTCTACAATGATATATAGAGAGATGTTGGTATTTATTGCTACAGAGCAAATATGTAAAAAGAATAGTTGTTGCATGTGGTCTTAGAATTTGACTTGGTGTTTATGAAATTGTCCTGAACTTGAACTATTTTCATACAGGGCATGGTTACAATCGTAATTTACATAAAACAGAATAGTGATTTCAGCATTTGTACATATTAATGATGCCTCTAGAGTACCTGATCTTGATTTATCTAGAGACAATAATGCAATTCCAAGTTCTAGTTTCCATAAGCCATAGCTAAGCAGGTGTCTTTCAAATACATGCTCTGCTTTACCCACTTCAGCAAACTTGGGCTCAATACAAGGAAGTAACCTGCTGTGTTTCTGTCTTTCCACAGATGGTTTGGGTGGTGAGCTTCCTATCAGCATTCTTCCTAGGCTTGCCTATTGGACTCGCTGTGGGAGTGGGTTTTTCCATCCTAGTGGTAGTTTTCCACACCCAGTTGTAAGTATTAACGCATCAGTAGAGACATTTTCCATAATTTATGTCAAAATGTCAATGAAAATCAGAATGGCATTATGTGGAACATGAAGGAACTACCCACTGTTAATAAACTGCTAATCTATCTTTCCTGTGAACATATTCCAAGGATGGAATAGGAAAGTACTTCTGCCCTGTATACACAAGGGAATTTCCTTTTATTGCTTATCAAGGGCTCAATGTAAGAAGTAAAGGGTTTAAGTAAAGGGTAAAGGGATGCTGGTTTCTAACAGCACCGAAATCTGATAGTATAGTTTATGGCTAAAGCTAATCTTTCCACAGCATGATTTCATTTGTGAAAGCCAGTCTTGGGTGCTATACTTCTCTGTTAACCTCAGGTAAAACATGATTGGTCTATGAAGCATCCGGATGTGCTTATGAACTGTATTATTGTTATTGTGGTAAATAAACATTTAGGAAGCATTCAAAGTGTTTTAGGTGCTGGACAGATTATGGAAATATAGAATAATTCCTATCCATTCTCTAATGGGCATGATAGAAAAGGAGAAAAAGAGCAGGAAAGATGAGGAAAGCAAACATTGGATGGATCTTTACTTGTCCATTGGTCTTTCTTCCCAGGGAAGTAATTTTTAGAAAGCAAAAGATGCTGGTTTCTAACAGCACAGAAATCCGATAGTATATTTTATGGCACAGGGCAAGATATGCTTTTTTCTACATGTCTACAGTCCAAAGCATCAGAAGATACAAGAATTATAAAGTACTTCCATTCATGAAATTAAGATGGCAAAATCAACTATGTGAGAATTTCACCACCTAGTAGTCTGTAGAGATTCTCAGTCATCCAGGTCATGGCTGTCCCAAATATGCTTTTTCACAAAGCAACTGGACTTTCTTGTTTTTTTCTTTTGAAGACATTTCACTTCTCATCCAAGAAGCTTCTTCTGCTCTGACAGAATAGTGGGGAATGGAAGGATTTATATTCCTTGCAGACAGCTGGTCATTTGCAGCCTTTTAGAGGGTCACTGAAGCACTTGGAGGTTTATTTGTGTCCTCAGGGTCACCTGAATAGTGTTCCTGGTCCTGTAACCTGCAATTATTTCTTTGGAAATCCAAAGGTGCTTTTTCAGGAGGCAAATGGACTCCCTTGTTTTTTTCTTTTCTTTTTCATCTTTGATACAACCATGACCTGGATAACTGAGAACCTCTACAGACTTTTAGCTATACAATTTGGGATGAACACCCTTTGAATAATAGGGGAGTAGGAATGGATTTCCAGAGAAAAAAAATGCAAACTACAGGACCAGGAGCACTACTCAGATGACCCTGAGGGTGCTTCAGCAACCCTCTAAAAGGATGCAAATGACCAGCTGTCTGCAAGGAGTATAAATCCTTCCATTCCCCACTATCCTGTCAAGAGCTGAAGAAGCTTCTTGGATAAGACCAGTTCCAGTTATAGCAATAGCAATAGCAGTTAGACTTATATACCGCTTCATAGGGCTTTCAGCCCTCTCTTAGCGGTTTACA